ACAGCAGGAGAGCCTGTGAGTCACAGCAGGAGAGCCTGTGAGCCACAGCCGGGGAGCCTGTGAGCCACAGCCGGGGAGCCTGTGAGCCACAGCAGGGGAGCCTGTGAGTCACAGCAGGAGAGCCTGTGAGCCACAGCAGGAGAGCCTGTGAGCCACAGCCGGGGAGCCTGTGAGCCACAGCCGGGGAGCCTGTGAGCCACAGCCGGGGAGCCTGTGAGCCACAGCAGGGGAGCCTGTGAGTCACAGCAGGGGAGCCTGTGAGCCACAGCCGGGGAGCCTGTGAGTCACAACGGGGGAGCCTGTGAGCCACAGCAGGAGAGCCTGTGAGCCACAGCAGGAGAGCCTGTGAGCCACAGCAGGAGAGCCTGTGAGCCACAGCCGGGGAGCCTGTGAGCCACAGCCGGGGAGCCTGTGAGCCACAGCAGGAGAGCCTGTGAGCCACAGCAGGAGAGCCTGTGAGTCACAGCCGGGGAGCCTGTGAGCCACAGCCGGGGAGCCTGTGAGTCACAACGGGGGAGCCTGTGAGCCACAGCAGGAGAGCCTGTGAGTCACAGCAGGAGAGCCTGTGAGCCACAACAGGAGAGCCTGTGAGCCACAGCCGGGGAGCCTGTGAGCCACAGCAGGAGAGCCTGTGAGTCACAGCAGGAGAGCCTGTGAGCCACAGCCGGGGAGCCTGTGAGCCACAGCCGGGGAGCCTGTGAGCCACAGCCGGGGAGCCTGTGAGCCACAGCAGGGGAGCCTGTGAGTCACAGCAGGGGAGCCTGTGAGCCACAGCAGGAGAGCCTGTGAGTCACAGCAGGAGAGCCTGTGAGCCACAGCCGGAGAGCCTGTGAGTCACAGCAGGAGAGCCTGTGAGCCACAGCAGGAGAGCCTGTGAGTCACAGCAGGAGAGCCTGTGAGCCACAGCAGGAGAGCCTGTGAGTCACAGCAGGAGAGCCTGTGAGCCACAGCCGGAGAGCCTGTGAGCCACAGCAGGAGAGCCTGTGAGCCACAGCCGGGGAGCCTGTGAGCCACAGCAGGAGAGCCTGTGAGCCACAGCCGGAGAGCCTGTGAGTCACAGCAGGAGAGCCTGTGAGTCACAGCAGGAGAGCCTGTGAGCCACAGCAGGAGAGCCTGTGAGTCACAGCAGGAGAGCCTGTGAGCCACAGCAGGAGAGCCTGTGAGTCACAGCAGGAGAGCCTGTGAGCCACAGCCGGGGAGCCTGTGAGCCACAGCCGGGGAGCCTGTGAGCCACAGCCGGGGAGCCTGTGAGTCACAGCAGGGGAGCCTGTGAGCCACAACGGGGGAGCCTGTGAGCCACAGCCGGGGAGCCTGTGAGCCACAGCAGGAGAGCCTGTGAGCCACAGCAGGAGAGCCTGTGAGCCACAGCAGGAGAGCCTGTGAGTCACAACAGGAGAGCCTGTGAGTCACAGCCGGGGAGCCTGTGAGCCACAGCCGGGGAGCCTGTGAGCCACAGCAGGAGAGCCTGTGAGCCACAGCCGGGGAGCCTGTGAGCCACAGCCGGGGAGCCTGTGAGCCACAGCCGGAGAGCCTGTGAGTCACAACGGGGGAGCCTGTGAGCCACAGCCGGGGAGCCTGTGAGCCACAGCAGGAGAGCCTGTGAGCCACAGCAGGAGAGCCTGTGAGCCACAGCCGGGGAGACTGTGAGCCACAACAGGGGAGCCTGTGAGCCACAACAGGGGAGCCTGTGAGCTGCAAGGAAAGATCCCACACGATGCAACAAAGATCTCATATGCCTCACCTAAGATCAGATGCAGCCAAATAAATAATCTAAAAAATTAGTGAAACAGAATAGAGAGCCCAGAAAAAGACCCACTCAACTATAATCAACTGATTTTTGGCAAAGGAACAAAGGCAATTCAATGAGGGAAAGGTAGTTTCTTCAGCAAATGGCACTGGAAAAAAATGGACATCCATATGCTAAATATATGTTTATATATGGACACAAACCTTGTACCTTTCACAAATATCAACTCACAGTGGATTGCAAACCTATATCTGAAATCCAAACTAAATAAAACTTCTGGAAGATAACACAGGAGAAAAATCTAGGTGACCTTGGACTTAGTAGTGGCATTTTAGAGATCACACCAAGAGCACAATCCATTAAAGAAAAAATTGACAGGTTGGACTTTAAGGAAATTAACAACTTTTGTTCTATGAAAGACACTGTTAACAGAATGAAGTCACAGACTGAGAAAATATTTGCAAAATAGGTATCTGATAAAGGACTTGTATCCAAAATATATAAAGAACTCAAAATTCAACAATAAGAAAACAAATGACTCAATCTTTTTGACAAAATGACAATAGATCTGACCAGACATTTTACCAAAGAAGGTATACAGATGGCAAATAAGTGTTAAAAAATAGATATCACATGTTAATAGGAAACTGTAAATTAAAACAGCAGTGAGACACCACTATACATATTAAATGACTAAAATTTAAAAAATTGATAACACCAAATGCTGGCAAGGATGCTGAGCAATAGGAGCTCTCATTCATTGCTGGTAGGAATGCAGAAGACTACACCCACTCGGGAAGACAACTAGTTTAGTAGTTTCTTACAAAGCTAAAAGTAATATTTATTCTTACAAAGCTATTTTTTTACTTACTTATTTACTTATTTTTTTATTTATATATTTACTTAGATATTTCTTAACAAACATACTCTTACCATACGATCCACCAGTTCCTCTTCCTGGTATTTACCCAACGGAGTTTAAAACTATGTGCACACGAAAACCTGCGTGTGAATGTTTATAGTAGCTTTATCCGTAATTCCCAAAACTTGTAAGCAACCATTATGCCTTTAAATAGATTAATGAATAAATGGAATATTACTTAGCAACAAAAGGAAATTAGCTATCTGCCTACAAAAAGATGTGGGGGGATCTTAACAGCGTATTTCCAAGTGAACAAAGACAGTCTGAAAAGTCTACATACTGTATGATTGCAATTGTATAATATTCTGGACAAAGCCGAACTGTAGAGACAGTGAAAAGATGAGTGGTTGCAGGGTTCAGGAGGAGGGCTAGAGGACTAGATCTCATTTTTAGGGCCATGAATCGGTTTGATGATATCAGTATGATACTGTGATTGTGGAAACATGACGCTGCATTTGCTAAAACTCATAGACCTGCATAATGCAGAGAGTGAACCCTAATGTAAACGATGGACTTTAATAAAAAATAAAGTAAATAAAAACAAAAGAAATCATGGTGAAACATGGTGCAGTTCTTCATATCCCAATTTCACCTCAAGAAATCTTTGTTAACCTGTAGCAAAATCTTTCAGAGAAGGCAATGGCAACCCACTCCAGTACTCTTGCCTGGAAAATCCCTTGGATGGAGGAGCCTGGTGGGCTGCAGTCCATGGGGTCGCTACGAGTCGGGCTCGACTGAGCGACTTCACTTTCACTTTTCACTTTCCTGCATTGGAGAAGGAAATGGGAACCCACTCCAGTGTTCTTGCCCGGAGAATCCCAGGGACGGGGGAGCCTGGTGGGCTGCCGTCTATGGGGTCGCACAGAGTTGGACACGACTGAATCGACTTAGCAGCAGCAGCAGCAGCAAAATCTTTGGCTGGTCTGCGCCTTCTGTGACAAAGTTGTCACCTCTAAGCTCCCAAGCAGGCTGTCCTCAGTGTTGGCTCCCTGCAGATGGACGTGGTTTTTCTCCTTCCCGTGGAGCATGTCTTCTGTCACCTTCTACAGCTGGAGGGACTGCCGTCGTTTGTTAAGAGCAGCTGGGAGGGGGGCCATCCTCACAGTGATGCACAGGGACTCTGGGTCACTTGCTGCCCTTCGGCTTGCCTGATCCCCTCTCTGCAGTGGTACCTACTCTGAAAGTCAGCAGCTCCCTTAATAGGTAGGTGCTGCTTTGGGGGCTGAAGACCCAGGTTCTGATCTCTGTTGTGCTATGAACTGCCTGTCAGGTTTGGGGCGTATCTCTTACTTTCCCTCGATGGTTCTCAGCTTCTTCATCTATAAAATGAGTGCGTTTGCCAGGAAACCTCTCTCAGATCCTGACTCTTAGTGTGGACGCTTCTCTCACACTCTTCCATGGAGTGGCATGTGTGCACCTGTGTGTCTCCCCAATTCTCAGGGCACTTGCAGCGGTGCAGACCCTCCCCACGGGGCTCCCTCTCTGCCTCCGGTTTTTGATGGAGACCCAGAGCCCGAAGGGCCCCAGGCCGGTTGCCCAGGACAGGGGCTGAGTCTGGTGCTGGGTTCAGGCAACAGTTGCTCCTCTCGGCACTGGCATTTTTCAGCCTTTCATGCTTTCCTAACCCATCGTGGGCCTGAACTCTCTCTTGGCAAGGGATGTCTCCTCTATCTCCAAAGAAGAGCCCAAACTGCAAGGTTCTGGATGTTTTCTTGGCCTGGAACTGAGAGGTGGTCTGGAGTGTTGTTACTGCAGAAATCTAGGCCAAGAGTTGGAAGATTTTCCTGGTAACTGATGCTCCTGAGTTAGAAATGTTTTATATTCAATCAGTTAAGCGTACATTTTAGAAGATACTCGATATTCTTTACCTTGTTTTGTGCTGTGCTGGAGTGGGTTGCCGTGCTCCCCTCCAGGGGATCTTCCCAACCCAGGGATCGAACTCAGGTCTCTGGCTTGGCAGGTGGATTCTTTACTGCTGGGCCACCTCGGAAGCCCTAGCCTCACTGTACTTACTTATAAAATTCCTGAAGGATCTTGGGGCATGGTTGAATGAGAAGCTCTGTTAGGTCTGAATGGGATCCTAGTGAAGTACCTGATCAAATTCTCAACCTGGATGTCAGAGTCAAATGGTGTTTTCTGTATATTGAGGGGCCTCTGTCATCCATAACCTCTGGATTTTCTTTCTGGTACTCTGTTTTGATGTTTCTTTTGTTCTTAGAGAGGACAGAGAATCTCCTACGCTCATAGTATCTGGCTCTCTAGAGAAATACTAAAAAATTAAGTCACGTAAAAAAAAACTCACCCAGTTTTTGTATGTTGGTTTTTTTTTAGGACTTTGTTTAGAGAAGTTGCCTATTTCTTCTTCTACCAGCAGCCTCCGTGTGGACCGGGAGCAGGACATCATCACCTGCTATGAGAAGGCGGGGGACATTGCCCTCTTGTACCTTCAGGAGATAGAAAGGGTGAGTGAGGACCATGTGTGTGTTCAGTTGGTAATGTTTTAAAATTTCAAACCACATCATACAGAACTGTGACAAACCTCTGGAAGCCTTCAACTTGTCTGTCTCTGGGTGCAAAGCTTTGCTTATATTCTTAAACACTAAGGAGAATATGCTGGTGAATGTGGCTCCTTGTGAAAACAGACAGGTCAGTGTTTGGGAAGCATTTTAACATCCTCTGAACAGAAATGACAATATGTACCATGTATGCCCTCAGCGCCCTGAAGCTGACCAATCATTCCTGCTCTCATAGGCAGACCAGGTTGACCTGTATTTGTACAGCTGTTTGTACATGGACTATGTACATGGACTGTGTACCAACATACAGTACATCAGGGATTTGGGAAGCTCAGTGGTCATGCCAGAGGTCTGTGGGGACTCTCCACCAACCTGCTGGGGGCAGGTGGTGGATCCCCAGGTCATCTGGGATGGTTTACTCCCAGCAGTCAGTGGTTCACTGATGAGGTGGAGATGAAACCAACAGCTGATCAGAGGGCTATGTGAGCAGGGAACGCGTAAGCCAGGGGCCGCGTGAGCAGAGAATGCGTGAGCAAGGGGCCCTGAGCAGAGCACGCGTAAGCAAGGGGCCCTGAGCAGAGAATGCGTGAGCAAGGGGCTACGTGAGCAGAGAACATGTAAGCAAGGGGCCCTGAGCAGAGAACGCGTGAGGAAGGGGCCCTGAGCAGAGAACACGTGAGCAAGGGATCACGTGAGCAGAGAACGCGTGAGCAAGGGATCACGTGAGCAGAGAACGCGTGAGCAAGGGATCATGTGAGCAGAGAACGTGTTAGCAAGGGATCACGTGAGCCGAGAACATGTGAGCAAGGGCCCACGTGAGCAGAGAATGCATGAGCAAGGGGCCACGTGAGCAGAGGATGTGTGAGCTCATGTGAGCCGAGAACATGTGAGCAAGGGGCCACATGAACAGAGAACACATGAGCAAGGGATCACGTGAGCAGAGAACACGTGAGCCAGGGGCCACGTGAGCACAGAACACATGAGCAAGGGTCCTTGAGTAGAGAACGTGTGAGCAAGGGGCCACGTGAGCACAGAACGCGTGAGCAAGGGGCTTTGAGTAGAAAACATGTGAGCAAGGGGCCACGTGAGCAGAGAATGCGTGAGCAAGGGGCCACGTGAGCACAGAACATGTGAGCAAGGGGCCTTGAGTAGAAAACCTGTGAGCAAGGGGCCACATGAGCAGAGAACACGTGAGCAAGGGGCCTTGAGTAGAGAACGTGTGAGCAAGGGGACACGTAAGCACAGAACATGTGAGCAAGGGGCCACGTGAGCACAGAACACATGAGCAAGGGGCCATGTGAGCAGAGAATGCATGAGCAAGGGGGCATGTGAGCACAGAACACGTGAGCAAGGGGTCATGTGAGCAGAGAATGCGTGAGCAAGGGGCCACGTGAGCACAGAACACGTGAGCAAGGGGCCTTGAGTAGAAAACGTGTGAGCAAGGGGCCATGTGAGCACAGAACGTGTGAGCAAGGAGCCTTGAGTAGAGAACGTGTGAGCAAGGGACCACGTGAGCACAGAACGCGTGAGCAAGGGGCCTTGAGTAGAGAACGTGTGAGCAAGGGGCCACGTGAGCAGAGAACACGTGAGCAAGGGGCCACGTGAGCACAGAACGCGTGAGCAAGGGGCCCTGAGCAGAGAACACGTGAGCAAGGGGCCACGTGAGCAGAGAATGCGTGAGCAATGGGCCACGTGAGCACAGAACGCGTGAGCAAGGGGCCTTGAGTAGAGAACACATGAGCAAGGGGCCACATGAGCACAGAACACGTGAGCAAGGGGCCTTGAGTAGAGAACACGTGAGCAAGGGGCCACGGGAGCACAGAATGCGTGAGCAAGGGGCCACGTGAGCAGAGAACACGTGAGCAAGGGGCCTTGAGTAGAGAACACGTGAGCAAGGGGCCACATGAGCACAGAACACGTTAGCAAGGGGCCTTGAGTAGAGAACACGTGAGCAAGGGGCCATGGGAGCACAGAATGCGTGAGCAAGGGGCCATGTGAGCAGAGAACACTTGAGCAAGGGGCCTTGAGTAGAGAACACGTGAGCAAGGGGCCACATGAGCACAGAACACGTGAGCAAGGGGCCTTGAGTAGAGAACACGTGAGCAAGGGGCCACGGGAGCACAGAATGCGTGAGCAAGGGGCCCTGAGCAGAGAACACGTGAGCAAGGGGCCACGTGAGCAGAGAATGCGTGAGCAAGGGGCCACGTGAGCAGAGAACACGTGAGCAAGGGGCCACAGGAGCAGAGAACGCGTGAGCAAGGGGCCACGTGAGCAGAGAACACGTGAGCAAGGGGCCACGGGAGCAGAGAGCGCGTGAGCAAGGGGCCACGTGAGCAGAGAACACGTGATCAAGGGGCCACGGGAGCAGAGAACACGTGAGCAAGGGGCCACGGGAGCAGAGAACACGTGAGCAAGGGGCCACGGGAGCACAGAACGCGTGAGCAAGGGGCCACGTGAGCAGAGAACACATGAGCAAGGGGCCTTGAGTAGAGAACGCGTGAGCAAGGGGCCACGGGAGCAGAGAATGCGTGAGCAAGGGGCCCTGAGTAGAGAACGCGTGAGCAAGGGGCCCTGAGCAGAGAACACGTGAGCAAGGGGCCACATGAGCAGAGAACGCGTGAGCAAGGGGCCACGGGAGCACAGAACGCGTGACCAAGGGGCCTTGAGTAGAGAACGCGTGAGCAAGGGGCCACGGGAGCACAGAACGTGTGAGCAAGGGGCCACGGGAGCACAGAACGCGTGACCAAGGGGCCTTGAGTAGAGAACGCGTGAGCAAGGGGCCACGGGAGCAGAGAACGCGTGAGCAAGGGGCCACGGGAGCAGAGAACGCGTGAGCAAGGGGCCACGGGAGCAGAGAACGCGTGAGCAAGGGGCCACGGGAGCAGAGAACGCGTGAGCAAGGGGCCACGTGAGCGGAGAACGCATGAGCAAGGGGCCACGGGAGCAGAGAACGTGTGAGCAAGGGGCCACGTGAGCACAGAACACGTGAGCAAGGGGCCACGGGAGCAGAGAACGCTTGAGCAAGGGGCCACGTGAGCGGAGAACGCGTGAGCAAGGGGCCACGGGAGCAGAGAACGCGTGAGCAAGGGGCCCTGAGCTCGCCCCCTCAGGCGGAGGAAGCTGAAGGCTGGCTGAGGCTGGGGAGGTGTGGGCAACTTCTGTTTAGAAGGATCCCTGTCTTTTAGCTCTGCTCTTTGTAGTTACTTCCTTCACTTCTCAGTCTTGATTTTCCCATCTGTAAGAGGAGCAAAATAATGGGTGCCTTCTTCATGGAGTTCCTGTGGGGATTGTAAAAGGTTGTGTCAATAAAGACACTCAACCCAGATGCAGGAGCATACCGGATTCTTGGAGAATGACACATTTCACCAAGAGCTGCAGCTCCTGGCCTTGTCTGGCCCTCCCAGTTTGCTGGTGGTCTCACCACGGCTTGATCCTGGTATTTCCCCCTTCAGACTCAGAAGTGTTTCCTGCGAGATTGCTTGAAGTGGTTAGAAATTCTCTGAGACTTTGGGTTTGGTCAGAATCTTGTTTCCCATCAATTTATGGATTCTCTCTCTGCTTAGGGATTAGAATGTTAGTCGCTCAGTCGTGTCTGACTCTTTCTGACCCCACGGACTGCAGCCCACCAGGCTCCTCTGTCCATGGGATTCTCCGGGCAAGAGTATTGGAGTGAGTTGCCATTTCCTCCTCCAGGGGATCTTCCCGACCCAGGGATCAAACCCAGGTCTCCTGCACTGCAGGCAGGTTCTTTACCATCCGAGCCCCCAGGGGTTGGGATAGAGAAGGGCTACCAAGGTCCTGGTGGTCTTCTCCTTGTGCAGACCAGAAGTAGCTTCCTTTCTAATGTGTTGATGTGTGTGGCGAGGATCAGAATTACCTTTCAGGATCAGGGAGGGCAAGGTGAGAGCCTCAGAGAAGCGGGGGAGAGGGCCAGTGGAGAGGTGTCTGGCCTGGCTCACGCCAGGATGGATTATAAACCGTAGTTCATGATGTCCAGGAATTCAGGAAGATATGTGCCTGTCTTGCCAAGATGTTGTTCTGTCAGAAGTCTGCTGTGAGAAAGGAATTATTTCTTATTCAGAATTTATGATACAATCTTTAGAGACATGCTCGTGCAGTTCGCTTTCAGTATCTGCATGATTTTCACCGTCTGCCTGCCCGATAGCCGGCGCTGGCAGCAGAGCAGTCTGCTTACGCCAGCCAAGCGGCTCCAGTGGACCCACACAGTCCTTGACACTCAGGGGACCTTATTTTGTATTTTACTCTCTGTTATCAAGGTAGGGCCTCCTCCAGGCTTGGAGAAAGGAGGTTCCTCTGTGTGTCTTTAGTGGCGTGGGGATTGGCAGATCTGGCTGTACTGCCTCCTGTGTTCATTGAGAACCACCTGTTCGCCACTGGGTTCTTTAGCCAGACCATCAAGGAGACTTATATAATCACTGCTGCTGTTGTTCAGTCATTAAGTCGTGTCCGACTCTTCGCAACCCATGGACCGCAGCACGCCAGGCCTCCTGTCCATCACCAACTCCAGGAGCTGGCTCAAACTCATATCCGTTGAGTCGGTGATGCCATCCAACCATCTTATCCTCTGTCGTCCCCTTCTCCTCCTGTCTTCAGTCTTGCTCAGAGTCAGGATCTTTTCCAGTAAGTCACTTCTTCGCATCAGGTTACCAAATTATTGGAGCTTCAGCTTCAGCAATAGTCCTTCCAAGGAATGTTCAGGACTGATTTCCTTTAGGATGGACTGGTTGGATCTCCTTGCAGTCCAAGAGACTCTCAAGAGTCTTTTCCAACACCATAGTTCAAAAGCATCAATTCTTCGGCACTCAGCTTTCTTCATGGTCCAACTCTCACATCCATACATGACCACTGGAAAAACCATAGCTTTGACTGGACAGACCTTTGTTGGCAAAGTAATGTCTCTGCTTTTTAATATGCTGTGTAGGTTG